CTCTCTTTCTTCCTTTTTTTTTTTTTTTCCCCTCTCTCTCTTTTTTTTTTTTTTTTTTTTTTTTTTGCAACAAGTGGCAGTCAGAAGCAACACCCCTCCCCGCTCCCATTTGCTAGCGCACGTCAAGGGAGTCACCCAGGGAGGGCCGGGCTTGCGGCAGCCCCGGAGGGTCGCCCCGGCCGGGCCCGCCGAGAGCCAGCCCGGGGCCGCTCTGCGGGGAGCGGCAGGAGGGGCCGGGGCTGGGGGCTGGGCGACCCCCAATTTGTGTGTGTTCTTGCGTGCTTTGGGGTGCTGGAAGAGGGGAGTGCATGGGGGTGCGTGCAGGCTCTCCGGGTGTGCACACATCGATGTGTGGGGAGAGGGGACTGTATAGGAGGGGTACGCGAGGGGATTATGCACAGATGTTTAAGAGAGTGTTGCACCCATTGCACACCTTTACGGAGGTGTGTGTGTAGATATCTGTGTGTGCTGGGGGAAGGTGTTTTGTGAGTGTGTGTGTTCATTGCTTGAATGCACAGGTATGTGCACGCTGAGACAGACGAGCATCCACCACACGTGTGTGCAGGGTGTCTGAGCACACCTGTATCTGTGCCTGCTGGGAGAGGTGAGTGCACTACATGCCTGCAGTCTGAGCACATGCATGTGTGTTTGCTGCTGGGGACAATAATACATGCTTATATCTGTATGTGTGTGTTTTGTGTGTTCACCTGTTGGTGTGTGCAGTCTGTGTCAGAAGAGGTGGGGGTGTGCGCTGTGTGCGCAGGCAGGTGGGTGCATGTGCCTGTGTTTGGGGGTGATGCGAGTGTGCAGCTGCAAAGGGATGTTTAGGGCAAGCTCCAAGTGCTGAACCCTGACTACATCCTCATCCAGCAGCAAGGTCCCATGGTGGGGACCGAGACCTGCCCTCACGCTGGGACCTCTGAGGGATTCTCCTGAGGAATGCTGTGTGTGCCTGTTCCCTGGTTGAAGGGATCAGACTGCAGTTTGGCCTGGATGCCCAGATAGGCTTCCTGGCACGGGTGGGATAAGACCGTGCACCTCCTCTGTCACTGGAGTGGCTCAGTGCTGCTGGTTTGCCCTGTAGTCCTGTTTGCAATGGGGTAAACTGTGGAATGAGGGTATCACCAAGCATGTCTCCAGATGTCAGACAATGATGTAAGATGGAGTGAGGACATAGCATGTCACTGCTTTGGGTGGGCCAGAGGCCATGGGGAAGCACAGGGCTTCACCTGCTGGCAGCTTCCCCACACTGTTTCCTCACTCCCCCTCCACCTGCCTGCCTGCCAGTTTTTCCTGACCCCATTTTTATGGAGAAAACTTTTCCAGGAGGCAAAGGAGGTGCCTGCTTTTCCTTGGGCTTTTTCTGGCCAGGGCAGCTGCAGGGTCTGCATGAATCCCTGGGGAGCAGTGTCATCCCACATCACGGGGACTGTGGCTTTGGCTCCATCCCATAACCAGAGCAGTTGGTCACTGAGACTTCGTGCTGCTGCACTGGGTATCAGTGGCATGAAATGACAGAGCTTGGGTGCCAAGGGCTGCTGGCCCTGTCCCCTCCACAGCCACCTGTGTGGTGCAGGGGCCAGGGTAGCCAGCATGAGCCAAATCTTCCCTTTTCCTTGGAGCATCTTGTGGAAACAGCCACTGACTGTGGCTGTGGCAGGAGCTGACTTTGCTGTCAGGCTTCATGGACTGGGCTGATCCTCTGCCCCCTTCACTATTTCCTTTTGTGGGGAAAAGCTTCTACTTCTGGGCTCTCCAGCTTCCCTGTGAGCATCTCTGGAGAAACTGCCCCTTGTTTTGCCATGGCACTGATGACTCTCAGGGCTTCTTGGGCTCCTGGCACCCCGGCCGCACTGAACATAGTGCAGCATGCTCACCAGAGAGGCTCTCCCGGAAATATCAGACCCTTCCCTGGGAAAGCAGGGCAGCTCCCGACCCTGCAGGGCCCCCAGACGCTGTTTATGTTTGCACAGGAGATAAATTAGCTGTCGGCTGTCCTATTTCAGGGCTGGACAGCTGTAGCTTGCACTGGCCCATCCCATCCCACTGCAGCAGAGGTAGGGACCTCCTGGTGCTTGTCAGCCCCTCTGATCATTACTTTGTTGGTGGCTGGCATTCTTGTTGAATTGCCACTGGGAAGATGAGACCTGGCCCTATTTCAGAGGGATCCACTGAGCCAGATGATTGCACGGACACCCATCCTCCATGGCTCCAGCCTCCCCTCACAGTGCTGCTGCCTTGCACCCCAGGGTGCTGGCACCCTCTGCTCTGGGCTGTGCCTGATCCACTGCACACTGAAGGCTGGGCTGGGTGGGATGAGACAGACTTGGTGATGGTGGTGGGACTACTCCAAGGCTCAACATGCAGGTGTTTGGTGAAGCTCCCCTTCTCCAAGGCAGAGGGGTTGGGATGCTTGAGTCAGTGTAGCACCCAGGGATGTGGGATGTGGCTAGGCTGGCTAAGTGGCAAAACCAATGTCTCCAGGGGGTGCAGCATGCCCCATTGCCTTGGGCATGGCCGTCAAGGGACCAGCCTGACTAGCATGTCTCAGTTCCTCTTTAGAGCCTGCACAGTGACAACAGCAGTTCTGGGGTTCTGCACTTGTGTCATGAAGTACATCTGTGCTCAGGCTCTCCTCGGTGCAGCAAGCAGGACCATGTCACCTCCACCCTCCTGCTCAGCGTTTTGTACTGATGGGGTCCGGTGATGCTCCCAGCTGGAGAGAAATTTCCCAAAGGGCTATTGACAGCTGTGGTTGAGGCAGCACAGATAGATAGTGGAGGTATAGATGGGCACAGCAGACAGTGGAGCAGAGTGAGAGATACTCGGAGCAGAGAGATATACCGCAGGAGGAATCGAGAGATAGATCCTGCGGGCTGATCAATACCCACTGCATGTGAAGGGACAGCAAGATAAAGCGAATTGCAGGGGTAAGGTGTTAGGAAGGCAGCGATGTGCATTTGTCCTGGTGGTGGCTCTGGGGAGATGCCACTCACAGTTGCTTCAGCTGGGGCTGAGGCAGAACCAGAACCAGACCCAGACCCAGGGTGTGGGTGTCTGTGGCTTACTCTCCTTGCCCATCTCCACCCACTCCACAAGGATTTGGTGTCCTTTAGGTAGCCTGGTGTCCTATCTGGCCTCTGGGTACCAGAGGGTGCCTATCTTCTGTGTGTCCTGGTCACACTCTCTGCCCCCACAGGGATGCCTCTGCTGTCTGTGGGCATTTTGAAGGATGGGTGCCTGGGCAGCCAAGGGGGAGAGGAGCAGTTGAAGTGCAAGCCTTGGCCCTGGCACAGGGGCTGTGCTGCAGCTGGGTGACTGTGGATGAGTTTCCACCCTGTGGCTCAGTTTCTCCATGAGAATCAAGTGATAGCAAGCTACAGGGAGTGGGGTCAAGCCAGCATGGACCCAGGCACGGATGAGGAGGTGTGGGGAGGAAGGGGCAGAGGTACCAAAAGCCTTCATGACATGCTTTGTCCAGGACCCATTTTTCCTCTTTGGTCACTGGAGACCTGACTAAGTCACTTAACCTGACTAAGAGGCTGCAAACACTTGCAGCAAAGGGAAGGGATGCTTTTTGGAAACCTTGAATGCCTGGCACTGTCTGTGCTCAGTGCTGGGACTGGGGGAACCCCTCCTGCTACAGCAAAGCAGCCAGGGTTCCTGAGTCTGAGACACCAATACTGCATGGTTTCTCTGCTTGGCATGTTCCAGCCTAGCTGGGAATGCTGAGGAAGGCACCCTCAGAGCAGCCCTTAGCATGGACCGGGCTGCTGTCCCTGCGGCCAGGCTGGGGGGGATCCCCCACCCGTGATGGAGTTATTGACACAGGCGCTACAGAAAACACTGCTGAGATTGTTCACACTAATGTTATTTAGCAGCAATATTTCCGTAATAAAAGAAATCAATGGGCAAGAGAAAAGACCTGTCCAGAGCTTTGATTTTCTTATTTTAATGGCATACTTATTTACTCCCACCAGCGTGCCCATCGGATTTTCATTATGCGGCCTTCGTTGTAAGTGGAGCGGTATTGATACGAGTTGCTGAGTTAGCGCCTTCCCAGGCAGACCAGCTTGTGTGGGATCGCTTGTGTTTCCCAACAGGGCCCAGCTAGACCCCAGGGAAGGGCCACAGTGTGGGGCCAGGGAGGCCTTGCAGCCCACGGGAACACACACGTGTGAGCACACCCAGCCTGTGTGTGCCCACGTGCATGTGTGCATACACACGATCTGACTATGAGCACACAGGTGAGCAAAAAGGTGTACATACCTGCTGGTGTGTGCACTGCGCACTGTGCACATGCATGACACACTTATCTCACCTGCACAGGCACATGCACACGTGCACAACCTACCCACATGTCCCAGCACTCACATGCGTGCAACTGCCCAGGCTGTGTGGACAGGCAAATGATTGTTCTACCTATATATACACATGTGCCACCACCTGTTGTGCCTACACCCACCTGAAAACTGTTCTACCTACATGCACACACACATCTGCACGACCTGGCAATACACACACACATACACACAAACAGCCAGCAATCCTGCCTGCCTCCATGTATACATGCATGTAGCATGTCTGCCAACATGTGTACGTGTGTGTACGTGTGTGTGTAAACCTCTCAGAACCATCACCTGCTGTGTCTAGGTCCATCCACCACAAACCCAGCATTGGCACTGTCCCCCAAAAGGACAGAGCCTCCTGGGCTCTGAGACCCCCCATGGAAGCAGGGACCTGGCATCAGCCTAGGCTTTTGGTCCTCAGCAACTGCAGTGGAGAGAGGAGTAACAGCACCATCTTCTGCCAATCCCTGGGAGCTGAGACAGGGCTGATCCTGCCCAACACTGTACCCTCTATCTACCAGGACCCCAAGAGGGATGACACCAGCTTCCCCGGGGACACTCAGCTGTCAGGAAGACTACTGCTGAGCATGTGGCTGGCCTTTGCCATGGCAGGGCTCAGCATGCTCCAGAGACTCTCCCAGACACCTGAGCATGTGGGATGAACAACTTTATTACTGTTATCTCTATTCAGGTAGCAAATTAAGAAGTAGCCCATGTGCAGGGCTGCTGGTCAGCAGACAGGGACAGTCCACGGAGGAGGAGGAGCAACATGCTACAGGCCTGGGTGGCCAGGGACACACACGTGCTTGGCAGCAGCGTGGAGGTGAAAGTCCTCCACCATGCAGTGAGCCCACATGGGTCTGGCCACAGGGATGCAAGCAGGGTCCACTGCTGGGTTCCACTGGGGCATTGCAGCGCTCCGTCGGCAGCCGGGATCCCATGCCGGGAGCCAAGCAGAGTGGCTGTCCCCACGGGATCTCACAGCCAGGGGAAGCATTTTGAAGGGCGAGATCCCATCCTGAGCTAGTAAAACAGACATTTGGCCACTCGAGGACACTGGGTACGTGCATAGCCAAGAGGCCATGCAGAACAGGGTTTCCATTAAGGCGACAGACGGTGGGTTTCCCCCTTGGGGGAGGACTGCAGGGAGGGGACTGTGGGAAAGGGACCCTCTTCCAGCCCTGGCCCATCCCCTGGGGTAGGTGACACACAGGGGACCAGAGGGACTTCCAGCACGGAAGCTGGGCATTCCCCCACTGCCAGGGGGTCTCAGCACAGATCCTGAGATCCCTGTGCCAGGGTGACACTGTGTGCCGCCAACCTACATCAGCAGGGATGGAGCCACAGGAGATGCTGCCAGCTGGACACAGTGCTTTGCGCTGCCCGCAGTCCCGGCAGGCTGCCAGGGAGATGGGGGACTTACTGGCTGACCTTTACAGTCAGTGCTCTAGCCTGGCTCACCCTGTGCACCCAGCCCTGAGGGCAGCATCCTTCTCCTGATGTCTCAAGAGCTGCAGAAATTTTGTGGGGCCTGGGGACAGCCAGCTCCAGCCCCTCTCCCGTTGCATGCTGAGAGCACACAGAGGTGTTTGTACACTGCAAGGCCACTCCAGCCCTGAGGGATGGAAAAGCTGGACATGACTCCGTAGAAAAGAGGGAGAGGCAAGTAGTAAAGAGAACTGGTGGTCTGTATTGCTGTGACCACCAAGATCCCTCTGTCCTGGCACCCCGTTGGCCCATGGGGAAGGACAGAGAAATTTGGGGAAGGCACAGGGGATCTCCTGCTGCCTCTGCTAGAACCTGGGCTTGGGGAAGAAGAGAGAAAGGCTGGGAGGAATGGAGCCAACTGGGCTCGGCAGGGTGCCCTGGCAAGACTGGCTCAGCATCCAAAGGTGCTGAAGAAGGCATTGGCTTCCAGGAGTAGGCCCTTGGCATAGACACGCAGGGTGTAGAAGAGGGTGACGAAGTCCTGAGTGCTGAAGAGGGTGTCAGCCAGGGCGAAGGCGAGTGTGGAGGGGATGAAGCCCCGGCCGTACTCCACCATCCAGGTGCCCGCGCTCCACTGCACTGATGTGGCCTCTCCCGCCTGGTGCACGATGGTGTCTCCTGCCAATAAACACAACCAGCACGGCTCCCAGGAGCTGCCCCACATCACACCCAAAGGGGAGACACCTGAGATTGGGACCTGCAAGGCTGAGCATCCCAATCCACCCCCAGCCATGCTCACTTTTCTTTTACTGCCACCCACTGAGGTGCTGGGATATGTCACTGGGAACATAAACTGCCCTATCCAGAGCTTCTGGCCAGCTTGAAGGAAGGGGCTTTATGACAGCGAGTGGCTTTGTCCCAAGGACATGGATGCAACCCACAGGGTGCTATGGCTACTGCACTTACCTGGATAGTAGATCTCACTTCTGGTGGTCCCCTCCTTCCACTGCCGGAATGTCCCAGAGATGACAGTGTCAGAAATATCTGCCCAGTACCGACCTATGGGAGGACAAGACAGCACTGGCTGAGCATGTCCCTGACAGGGACCTGCAGGAGCCCAGGTCTGAACCATGGAGCAGCTTTCTGGGGGTGAAGATGCCAAGCCCCAGGGCCTCAATACACCAAGAAGCGCAGACGGGTCTAGTACCCAGGCTGCCTGTGTGAACAGCCAGCCTGGGCTGCTTGGTGTCCTTAAGCCCCATTGTTTCCACCTTGTTTGGCATTTGCTTCCTGCTGAAGCACCGGGAGATGAGACGTCTGCCACTGCCTGCCAGCTGGATGCGGAGAGTCCTGGCCACACAGCATGTCACGCACAGGGACCCGCAGGTGCTGCAGGACACCACGTAGGCTAGGCCCCACAAATTATTCTCCAGCATCGTCCACCCCGTACAAGAAGTGAAGCAATACCTGTGCCAGGCACACCATGGCCAGGGTAGCTGGACCCAGACAAGTGCAGTGGAAAGAGCTCACAGAACAACCCTGCCTGCCAGACCTGTCCTCCTGCTTACCTGAGTGGCCCCCGGTGTCAACAGCTGTCCCAAACAGCAGCACGTACTCGGTGAGCGAGGCATGGAGCAGGCACATGGAGCCCATCCACCCGCCTGCATTCACGAACACCCACTGCAGGTCCTCATCTGGCAGGATGTGGCCTGGGTGCTTCTTTCGTAGCTCCACAATGATCTTGGAGAAAGCCAGCTCATGGTCCAGCCCTGCAGCAGCCAGGGTCACTGTAAGTCCCCGGCAGTGGAAAAGCTCTGCTGGCCACCCCCAGAATCCCCTGCACAGCCACAGGGTCCCAGAGCTCTCTTAGAGGGGTCTGCCTAGGGAAGATGTCTCCTCTCCCCAGCTTTCAGCCCCTGTTGACCCATCTCTATCATCTCCCTGGACAGTGATAGAGAATAAACAGCACAAAGTGCTCCAGTCCTATAGCCCACCCCAGGTGATGGGCAATAGGGGGGTCTCAAGCAAGGTGACAGTGCCCCTGCCCCGGTGACATGCAGTCCCGACCGTACACCCTTGTGCCCTACAGGGACAGCTCTCCCCTCCAGCCCCAGTGAGGGGGCCACTTATGCCTCTGACTCACGTGGGGCTTGGTTCCCTGACCTGGCCTAGCCCAAGGACCGAGAGAACCGCCCTAGGCCGGGGTCCAGTCTCAACAGGGCTGGGTGACGCCTCTGGCCCGGTCCCCATCCCTCCTTTGCTTCAGCCCCATTTTCCACTCCGCTTCCCCCATGCTCCCTGTGGCTGTTGCCCTGTACCGATCCCCTCCCTATCCCGGTCCTGCTGCCCAGTCTCAGCCCCTGGCCCTTCCTTGACTCCAACCCCATTCCCCCCGTGATCCCGGCCCCCCTGTACCGGACTCTCCTTGGTTCCTCGCCCTCGACACGGCTCCCCTCTCCATCCCAGGCCGCCGCTCCCCGCCACGTCCCCAGTTCTGCCCCCCATCCCAAATCCCCATCGCCATACCCCCGTCCCTCCTCGCTTCCCCTCCCCGCCGCTACCCTCCCCGGTCCCCACGGGCGGCCGCGTTACCCGCGTGGTGCCGGGCGAGCTGTGCGATCTCGGCGGGGGTGAACTCGTACCGCTTGGCCGCCAGCCATCCCCGCAGCACCTGCAGCACCAGCGCCAGCGCTCCCAGCGCCAGCCCG